GAACCAACCTCACTGGCCCAGCACTGATAACCTCAAGCAGAGAAGGAGGAGAAGGTGGTGGAAGAGGATTCCCTCTGTCATTTTCTCTGCTGTGATGTCACTTTGTCTCGTATTTATCTGCAGAGAGGAATCTCTCCTCAAGTGGTTTTGAATGTTTTAGGTGTCCCAGCTTTCTTTGGGGCTTTGAATTATGGGTTTGGGTGAGGCAGAAACACAAAGGAATAAAAAAAGGGCAGACAGTGATTGAGAGCGTGCATGTGAATGGACTGAAGGCAAAGTGCACGCTGAGCATGTGCTCATGTTGCTTGTGGGAAAAAGGGAGTATATAAGGAGTGAGTAACAGTGTGAGTGTCTGTAATAAAAATGTTTGACCTCTAAAAATAGGCTTTATTTTTGTCACTGACTCTGACTAATAAGTCACTGTCATCGGGTAATAGTTTCCAAACAAAACTTTATCTTTTTATAGCTTTTCTTCTATTTCTGGACTAAAAGTTTTGGACGATTATTATTACTACACAAATGCTGTTATTCCTCATATTTAGTTAAATTACAAGTTTTCTTTTTTTTTTTAGCAAATTTGCTTCAATTAAAATTCTTGGATTTCAAACAGCAGTTTCAGTTTGGTTTCCTCATAAAAACGTTGGGCTGATGATGCAAAACCTCATGTTGAGCACCTCAGTGTCACCGCCTCATTTACAGCCTTCCTGTGTATTTGCATAGATTAATGTGAAAACTCACCATGTAATATACATTTACAGATAAGAGTAACGAAAAATATTGTAAAAAGATAATACCCAGAGATACAACCATCCAGATTAAGGAAAAATAGCATCACTGAAAATAACCAGCATTCCAGAGAACAGGTGTGTGTGTGTTTAGTGTGTGTCCGTTTGTACGGAGGTATATTTGTATGTCGTTCATTCACACGCGTGTAGTTGCAGATACAGTCGGCTGGCCGGCAACAAAGGAGATTATTGCCGTCCAAACAGTCGGTGTGATGGAGGCAGGATGTACGAGCAGAGACATGTTTGGTTAACCACACCACTGGGCTTGAGTGAACACAGACTACCGGCTGCACCGCTCAGGAGGAAATCCAGTAACGTGTTACATATGGGAGGGTATTATTCATGATTACAGTTCAATAAACACACAAAGAGGATGGAAACAGAGCCGTGGTCCCCACTCTTCCTCCTGGCCTTACATAACTGGGAGTCTTCTGCATTTGTTCCGCTCCTATCCTTTGGCATCTTTCTTTGATTCAAATTGAAATTCTTATCATTTTAGTATGTTTTAGTTCACACTAGGGTTAACACTGGCAGTGAGTGGCTAGAAATATTAAATTAATATAGATCTAAGCTTTTAAGTATCAGTTAAAAAAGACCAAACATGACTGTTGGGTCACATCCAATTTACCTGGGTCAGATACTTCATGGCTGAGTTACATGATTTCCTCATGCTATCAGAACCCACTCCCCCCCCCCCACAGGGTAGATCTCTTGCAGTAATCCCAGGGATCAAGCCACCCACTCCCCCCTTCATCTGAACCCTCCTTGGTTTATTAGATCAGACCCTCTGTCAGAAAGCTGGGATCTGGGGCCTCTTTGTTTGGCCCCTGATTAAGAGCTTCTCACACTGAAGGATCAGGTCTTCACTCAAAGTGAAGGAGAGGGAGTTGGGTAGAAAAAGAGAGAAGATCTTTCTGTCTTTTTGTCGGGGGGGGGGGTTCTTTGGCCACATTGTTGCAGGCTTCAGGGAAGGCTTCTTTTGAAGGCAGGTTGGATTGGAGAGACAATGGGATGTTAGATGATGAGGGATTTAAATGTTAAGCTCATACCTTTAAGGTCGGTGGCCGTCCAATTGTGCACGTCTTGGAGCTGTCCTCAGTCCATCATGGGACGATGAGTGGACCAATGAATCTGAAGGAAACATCTCATTAAAGTGTCAGAACACTGGTATATGAACCGATCAATATTTTATCTCATGTTAAAGGCAGAACGTTCTCCTCTACTCTTGTCAGACCGCTTTGAGAGTTGATGCTGCTTCGTGTATGTTTCATCTATTAGAAAATTTAATTAGAGATAATTTTTTTAACTCAATAAATATCACATTGCATTTTTTTTTTCATTTTATTCTCATCTTAAAGCTGCCAACACGGCCGACAGGATCAAAGTTTCAGGGCTGTGCCGCGACCATCAAACCCTGATTTAGGAACAGTTTGCTTCTTTCTGGTCGGTCAGGTCAGCCAACAGGTTACACTACTGTAGAACACCAGCACAGTTTTGAAAACAACGATTTTAATTTTGGTGTTTTAGTCTAATTAATAATTAAACCCTGGACGAAGCCCAGAAAGTGTGGTGTGAACACCGAATCAGAGAAATCCCAGAAAGCCGTGTCGATACCCTGCACTTAACAGGCTCTCTTTGGGGTTTACACGTCTGTGAATGAGGGATTAGTTTGACATGGAAACAAGTCATTCTCTGACCTTTCTTCAGTCCAGTTTCATATTCTAATGAGCCCTGATTGTAAAGAGAGACGTTAGTTTGACGGGACAGTGATGCAGCATTCCACAGGGATGGAGAGAGCATGTGGGAAAAGCAAACGGAGGTGTTAATCTCAACAGTGAGCGCCGTCCCTTCATGTTCCTAATCCCACACTCTCTGAGGCATCAGTGCTTTCATTCTCTGACATGAACCCAGAGCTGCTACGCCATCGCTACGTACACAATGGGCTAATTAAAGCTGCTCAGGCTGGAATGTGACGGGGTTTGGTTAAGATTATTATAGATTGAGTTTGTGGGATATTTCTATATTTAAAAAGACAAAAATGTTTGTTTTAAATGTTGTGAGAGAGAAGAGGGAAGTGGTGGAAAAACCAGGAACTAAACTGTTAGGAGATAAAAGATTGTTTTGCATGAATCTGATGTTGTCGATTGGCCATGTGACCAGATGGCAGGCAACTGTATGATAAATCTTTAAAAATGAGTTATTTACCTAAAGCAGTTAGACAGGAAACAAATGTTTGACATTTAAAACTGTAATAAGATCCAAAATGTGAACTGACATTAACGGGATGAGGATAATAATTTAGGATTATGACTCGCTTTTCACATGAGCAAAATAAAAATACTCTGTAGCTCGCCAACGTTTGGTCTTTGTGATTTATTCTAAGGTAACATTGGTCTAATGTGATATTAGTTTTATTTCACCACACGCTCTCAGAAAAATGTTACTTGGCTGTTTGTACGTGGCTCATGTTTTATAAATGTTACGGAAGCAAAACAGTGTTTTCAGTAAATATATTGTTTACCTTAAAAAAAGTGTGTTTTGTATGAAATGCAATGTAAATTGAGTAACAAAAGGTATTTATATTTAGTTTTTCAGTATATTTGTTTTTATAATGAATACAGAAATAAAAAAAAACAATATCCCATTAATGCATGTCTGCTCAAGAGCACATGGGTGTTAGCTTTTGGGAGAGAATCGAACCTTTCTCTTTCTCCCCAGTCACCCAAACTTTTCCCACTTCACTTTCACATTCCTGACAAAAGAAAGCCGTCTCTTCCCTCCACACCACAATCATAAATATCTCAGTTCAGACGGTGACACTTTAAGCTTGATTCATTTTCACGCGTGTACATATTTGGATTGGATCCCTGTCAAAAACAATTAAAATGGTCCCTACAGGACCCATACCCCCTCTCCCTCCTGAGAGGCGTCTGCTGTCAAAACTGCTTGGATGATTTTCCGGAGTCGGGGTGTCCACATCTGTGCCTGATTAGCACAACAATAAGGCCCAGCAGCCCCAGCTTAATGAGAAGGCATCTTCAGCCCGGGCTCAAGGACCCCACTGACAAAGAAGCTATACAACCTCTACACAAGTATTTTTCTCCAGATCCATTAGGCAGAAACCTGCCACCCTGGCAAAACACAACAAAAACTCCTGAAACTATGAAACAAGTGGCGATTCTCATCCAGAAAATGGTTCTTTGTGCTCGACCTGTGCAAGAATGTCAACTGGAAAATAAAGCGCGGGTGGACGTGGAGCTGAAAAGAAAATGAAAACATCACCCACCGCCAAAATTAGAGGGGAAACCTGGCTCCACGATCTGCAGCATTGATCGTTTCATTTTAAATGGTAGTTTGTGACGCTGTGTTTTTCTTAAGTTAAATTACCAAAAAACTTTCCCATCTGTGGAGCCTGTTGTTAAGGTCGCCTCCCTGAGAGGTTGAGAAGCCTTTTGTTTAAATGGAGAATAAAATTACACAGAAGATGTACACAGAGCCACAAATACACAGACGTACGTACTGTATACTCTGTACTTGGAGTCATGTGTCACAGCAGTTCACTGAGCTACGGCTGACCTTTATGTATTTCTCTGATGACCTGCTTCGAATGTGAGCATGTAGAGCGACTCTACACGTAAATAATATGTTATCATAATAAGATATTAGCAATACTATATTCATTGAATATTACCTTCTGAAAATTCCTTGAACAAAAAGCTAATACTTTGTTCCTTCTGGACAGTTTTTGTGAAGCAGAAGCAGAAGATAACTTGATGACATGTAATCCTTTGTTCCTTCTGGACAGTTTTTGTGAGAACCAGAAGATAACCTGATGACATGTAATAATTTTTTTACCATCTTTATGGATTCTTTGGTATCTGTCTTTCTGTTCTGGTTTGACTTCTGGAGCTCAGCGAGTTCTGCCACTGTTGCAGTGACACGATGCCCCAAACACTCTCTCTGTGTAGGTTTTACACTATTTGACTTACACTACATGAACCCTGTCTGTGGGCATATACAAAGACAAGCTCAAAGTCAAGCTAATGCAGGGAGCAGAGTTTACCCCGCCCGCCTCCACCCCTCCACCCCTGCTTGTAAATGGCCAATTAATCAAAATCTCTCAGTGTTTATTGGTCTCCGTTAGCTAAATGAGTGTAGACTTCTCCTCCCTCTTTGGGCTATAAACCCAAATAAATGGTGCTAGAAAAAGGGACTTGCTGATTGGCACTGGCGCCCTGTGTGGCCTTGGAGGAGCGAAGGGTGGTTGGGAGGTGGGCTCCTCTGTCAGAGGGGAGTTTTATGAGCCCCTGTAATCACCAGGCGTTAAACTCAACAATTAGGAGCTGCGATTTTGTCGCTGGTTTATGGCAAGAGGCTAGTTAGCTGCTCGGATCAGCAGACGGAGGGGGGGGGGCAGGCAGAGAAAACACAGTAGGCTTCAAAGTGTGGTCAGAGATTACACTGGAATAGATCGACTCAAGTTTGATTAGGATTTAAACGTTGCACTTTATGGCTTTGTCAGTGTGTCATTTATACACTCTTCTTCTAGATGCCTCCTTTCTGATATTTTTGTGAGGTCTGTCTGTTTCCTGTTCCTGCTGTCTGCTGTGTGGGGTTAATCATTGTGATCACACTCACCTGTGTCTCTGTGATTAGTCTCACTGCTGTCACCTGGTGCCCTGGGCATCGTATCTGTTTGTGAGTGTAGTGGTCTGGTCAAGGTTGTTCCATACTGGTCAGTTCCTGTTCTGTGTCCACGCTTCCTGTTTGACGGTGATGCCCTGTGATGACCATGCTTCATTTTCCTCCGACACAGTGAGTGTTTTGTGATTTTGATTATATGAATAAACTACCGACACCTTGATAAGAGTCTCTCCACCACTGCAGTTGGGTCCAGCCTGCTTCCTGCCCTGCTCACTCGTAACATTTTTTTTTACCCATCATTGTCAATAACCTTAATGAGAAAAACATCACAAAGACAGAGTGGGGTCAGTGAAAGCATCAGCCTCCACTTTTACACTCAAATTGCAGGTGTAGCTGCGTAGCTAAGGCCTTGGAGGCAGGAATGTTGTGTAATTACACGTGTGGTTGCATGTAATGCTCTTTGTGTAATGGAGATGAAATCATGCAGCTGACCTCCGCAGACCTCCACAGATTTACTCACTTCACTGCAGCTCTCTCTGTGTCACTGGAAGGAGGCCTTCAAACCGTTTCTTCATATATACACATACTGTACATGAGTACCTGTGTCACTCACCCACGCTAACACAGTGGTTATGTCACAATCAAGGACATAAAAAATGTCAAGAGACTGATTTATGCCTGGGAGACATAATGACATAAACAAAACACAGATCCATAGATCCAGTTTCTGGCGTACAACCAGCGAATGGCAACAAAACCGTCTTCCGTGCACGGTGCCACTTGACGACGTATTTGTTCACTCTGCTTGTCATATTTAAGACTATTTAAAACTTCTTTTGCTGACCTCTTCCTATCTGACCTTACCCTAGGCCCAGGCCTGACCTTCCTGAGCCCCGCTCACATGATCTGCCTCCCTCAGGTGAGACTCCTCTCTCACACCTGTCTTCTGCTTCTAAGACAAAATCACCTCCAAGCAAACACATCACTCTTCCTCTTTGACTACACACATCTGACGTTAACACCTGTTGGCATTTTGGTTCCGTTCCTTTGCGTGTGAGTGGAATGAAGAGTAGAAATAGAAAAGAGACATTAATACCAGTTTAGTATAACTCAAAATATTAATTCATTAGGAACGGTGTAACACAATCAGGTCCAGTTTAGTATAACTCAAAATATTAATGGTGTAACACAATCAGGCGCTGGTGCTTTTCAGATTCAGATGATAGAATGGCACAGATTTGACAGCAGTTACAAATGTTAGCGATCAGTGTGTGACTTTGCATGTGAGCAACTTGGAGCAAAAACAAAAGCCTTTCAGCCATCGTTTGTCCAGCTGAAGTCTCCTGGGAGTCACACAGGTCAGAGGTCAGTGTGCACATGTTTGTACAGTTCCACACGTTTCAGGATATTGTTGTCTGTGTAGATGACGGTGGGGTTCAGTGTGTTAACGTGTGTGTGAAAGTGACATACAGTCATCAGTATGTGTGTATGTGTGTGTACAGACCCACAGCTGCGGCGCAGCTGATTGGTTTCTCAACTCAGCAATGGAGGTTTTTATTTGTTAGTTTAAGTGCAGATACTAGAGTCGGAGAAGAACATTAGGCTAAAAAAAAAAAAGATTTTATCTTTAAATTTGGGAGCAAAAAAATCACTGTCTCTGGTTGTAACTGGTGGTCTTTGTTTGCTTGTCCTCCTTGTGTAGAAGTGTCTGCTGTTTTTAGCGTCCATTTTCATATAAACAGGATCACAAAAACTTACAACTTAAAACCAAAATGTTTGATTGTTGTGTAAAGTAGCATCACTTGTTTTGAATGAAGTGACATTACAAAAACGGTTTGAGTTCAGCGAAATAAGTTTTCTGCGTTAGTGACTACGACTGATGGTGTACAATGTCAGATGGTGTTTGATGGTGTTGTATTACGTGTCGCCGATCTGAGGCAATGGCAGTGATGTCTAACCTAAAATCTACAGTGTGATGTACATTCACCCTGCACTTAAGCAGCATGCCTCTTGGATGAGGGCTCTTCAAAAAAACTCAGACTATTAAGAATGAAAATGACTTGGCGCCTGTGGTGGCGCCAAACCACGGGCGACTTAATCAGACGTTTGACGGACAGACGGAGGTGCAGAGTTCAGCATGAAGTGCTTTGAGCTCCTGCACTGACTGGTGAACCGTGTAGTTTGGTGGTGCCATGCGTCTTTCCTGTATGGGTTTATGGATGTGTGGCGACATAAATGATTCCAGGCGTGTGTGGAAGTGCTGTGACGCACGTTCAGCCAAAGAACGCCCGTTCAGACACACTGTGTTGTGTGCTGGTTAATAAACCTCCCTGTGTTTACTTAATGGTAATTAAACAGGGAAGTTTCTTTAATTTATTTCTATTTAACAGCTGTAAACAAGACGTTTTGGTCAGATTGCAGTGATAACTGTTCAGTGAAAGAGAAATAAAAACAAGAGTCCGAGACTTGACTGCGTGGATGGCAGTGTTCATTCATTTATAAGACAAACGTACGCTCTCTTTCTATTCCTCAAATTACCATCATTATGTCCATTAATTACCTGTGAAATGGCTCTCAGACAGAGGCGGGGCCGTTGCATTCAGGCTGCCAGCAGGCAATTTCAGATTGGCATCAAGCCACCGGGCAAAAAAAAAAATCCAGGGAAACATTCAAATACATGTTTGCATTTTTCTTAGGCTTGTAGCAGTTAACCACAAATATTTATTTCGTCAACATGAGAGAGAAAATCCTGTTCTAACACGGCCTGTGCAGAGTTTCATTATTTGTAATTATGTGTTTGAGTTTGTTTTCAAACTGTTTAATTTTTTTTGTGAACCTTTTTCACATGCTCTTTAGAGTGTGTGTTCACAGTGTTCTCCTTATGCTAACCAGCTACTAGTTATCCTGTTTATTGAGACTAACTTTGTCTCTGTCCCAACTTCTTTGGCTGTGTTACAGGCAAAACAAATAGTAAATATTTACCTAATAGAATATTAAATTACAATCTGTAGACCTTCTTTCTGTTGTATTTTCTTCATTTGTGGTTTGTAAATATTTTCTTACAAACTTCTAGTTTACATCTGAATAAACAAACTTTATAGACGATGAAGACACAACATATTTTCCCGTAGTTTCCTGTCAGCTGTTGCAATACTCTGCTCATCAAACTAAATGAGGCCTGAGATCACAGCCACACTGACGTTGCTGTTCTTCATGCGGCTGTTACCTTCAGCAAACAGTACCTAATGATGCTGAAAGCACTTCAGAGGTTTTATCTCTGTTTCTTGTTTGCCCCTGGTCTGCTAAGAGATTGTAGCGGCAATTCAACCTGAACCGATGATGCTGCAGTCTGAGCTCAACTTTATTCCCCTTCATAGATTGCATGAAAACGGACTTAGAGTGTGGAAATAACCAATCACGTGTCAACTAGTAATAGACAATGTGAGTTATTGCACATTCATCTAAAATATGTTACTGTAACATTTGTTGTTTCTTTTCCTTTTATTACTCAAGGCCTGATTAAGCTAAAACATTTTTACCAGTGTATTCTACATCCAGTAGGTGGCAGTCATGCAACTTAAAACATTCAGATTTGCTGATAAACCCAAAGAAGACGTGAGGCTAACGCAGGTTTAGCTTAGCCTGGCTTTGGTGAAGACTCAAAATGAAATACTACTGGCAGGATGCTAATACGCTGCTATATGCTAATATGCAACACACTGCATTCTTCAGTACGAATATGCTAGGTACTTGTGTATGTTAATGTGCCACTAACATGCTAAATGCTACTTGTCTCTTATGTTTGCGTAGTGAACAATTAGTTTCCACCACACATGTTGCCTTTTTCTTCTTTTAGCCCAGGTTTGCAACAAAATAGGTCAAATGTCAAGTTAGCACCACCTACAGGATAGAGATGGAGAGTTGCTTAATGTTGGAAATTGGAAATTGTTAATGTGCAGTGTTATTAAACGATATAGAAAACATTTGTTTCTGGTGAAAAACTAGTTGAACATTTAGGGATGGTTTATGGGACAGTGTTCCTGATCACATTATACATTTTACTTCTGGAGAACCCAGAGTCAGAGACTGATATAAAATAGGATACAAAAATAATTTACACAATTTTACGAATTTAACCAGGCTAACGCTTTATTGTCGAAGCCAGCCACAGCTACAACTGCAGCTTTAAAATAATGTCATTCTCATGGACCGGATCCTAAATAATAAGCTGTGATAATCTTTCCAGGAGTAAACTTTTGTCTCACTAACAGTCGTTAGCGAGCAGGGGCACCTCCCAGCATGCAGTGCAGTGAGGCCCCCGGTAGCATGCATCCTCTCAGTGAAAGAGCAGCCAGGTGGAGAGCTCCATTCACTGCAAACTGACCTTGACAGGGTTTGATTGAATCTGGCTTCCTCCTCTCCTTGCCTCCTCCTTGCTGCCCAGATGGCAGGGGTCCCCTCCTTCTCCTTCGTCCTCCCCTCCTCTCCTGCTCCCTCCCCCACTCCATCTTTCATTCACCTCTGCTGACTGACACGTCCCATCAATGTGCTTATTGTTCCTGGCTGAAGAAGTTGTTCTCTCCTGTTCGCTCCCTTCCTTGTCCATCGTGTTTATCTCCCGTCTCAGCGTTTCTCAGACTCTCACTACTTTCTCTCTTTGTCACCCCCTCCTCGGCCCCAACAGGATGGAGATATTTGACACGCTGCAGCGATTCTCGTCTGCATCCCCTTCCCCTGTCCCTACATGCATCCCTCTGTTTCCTGTATGTCTCGTCTGTCCTTCAGTCTGTCTTCTGGAGGATTGAGACGTCTGCTGCACACGATCGTTTCCTCCTTACTATCTGATCTGACACCAGGACGGCTGTTTCATGTCCCTCACAAGTCAAACATCTTTGAGGAGACAAAATATCTGAAGATGGCCTTGAAATACTCATGAAGTTGGAGGTTGACCAAAGCTATATTTCTCACAGCACCAGAACTGTTTGGTACACTTTAAAAGTACCAGAGTTGGTTTCTTTGAATCGTTCGCCTTGTACCTAAATGTGAACTCTTCCTGGGAAGACTCAGAGTCGTGATCTTCACAGCATGAAACCAGACCATGGTTGGTCCTGGTGGTTTAAGGACTGGACTGTTTGACTCCCGGCCCTGAAGGGACTGTGGCATTGATGTACCAGTGTCAGGGAAGTGTTTGGTACATGCTGAGCAGATACCTTATCAGCCGGCTCTGAGATCAGTGATGGTCTGCAGTTGCAGGAACACAAGCACTTATCACTGAGTTCCTGTGATGTGCTGTTTTAGCTCCATATCATACAGGGAGACTACAGTCACCATAACACCTCCTCTCCTTTCTCCTCCTCGACGCCCTTTGACTGGGCAGTTTTGTCTCACAGTGTGGGGACCATGGCTGAGGGGCAGAAAGACACGGGGGAGGAAACCATCTCTGCAGTTACGATCAGCACTTTGTTTTTCTCCTTAAATGATTTAAAAAACATGTAGTGTAATACAGCACTTGCATTTTATTTAGTTCTAAAACAAAAATTAAATTACATTTTTTTAATCACTTATTGGCATAGTTTTTATTCCTTATTTGTGACTATTTCTATATTTTTGGCTTTTTTAGCTTTACCTTTAAGTTGTTGCTGATTTTGTTTTTTTCATGTTTTACTGCATAAAATAGGACATTTTTCAAGTATTTCTCAACTAACATCTTATTTTTGATTACATTTTAGGAAACATTATCCACAATAATTCCTAGGGTTTTTTTATCTATTATTTCCCATTTGAATATGGTTCTGCTAACAATAACGTACTATATTTGTGCTCCATTTCAGCTGTGCTTTTCCCACATCCATGTTCATTATGTCCAACAGTTTTTATTAGTCTTGAAAATTACTTTTATTTGTTGATACTATTACAGAC